GTGTGTGTGTGTGTGTGTGTGTGTGTGTGTGCATGTGTCTGTGTGTATATCTGTTGGAAATTGTACAATATTAAAGGATTAAACAAATAATTTGCCATTCTAAGAAAGTGAAAAGAAAAAAAAAAGGTGCCCAATGATTGTTGCCATAAAATTAATGGGAAATTTTGGCTCATCGAATAAAATTTGCTATATTCATTATGGGTATAAAAGAAAAAAAAAAGCTAATTTGGTTAAGTTAAAAAAAAAGAAGTGTAAAGTGTAGTGCTCAGAAAAAGGAATTTATTACTAAATTGAAGAGTACAAATAGGCCAAAGATACTACTGGGCCCATATGGAAGCAATTACTACTTATATCACAATCGACCATTCATTTCCAGTGGCCATATTGTGATGCCTTCTTTTTTTTTTTCATTTGTCAATTTATAGAAGATGAAATTTCGAGAATAATTATTTTTAAAAGTCTTCTATACTATTAGAATCTTTTCACAAGTTTTCCAATAAAAAAAGTGCAGAATTACTTTAACTATTTTAATTACCTTATTTACTTAAAATTTTATCTAATTTTCTTAGAAGAAATTAATTCAAAATTTTAAATTCACTTGAAATTTAAATAAAAAAACATGCAGCAATGTTTTTTTTTAAGTTTCTTTGCGAATATTTTTCTTATAATGATTGATTCATTTTAGTAAAACGGTAAAAAGATTATAAAATGTTATGCAAAGGGAAAATTACATAATGATCATTTAAGAAAAGAAAAAAGAAAAAGAAAAGCAAAATCGTAATCTAAAATTACTTTCATATTTATATATCAAGCTTAATTTACTAATTTGATTCGGAAACTGAAAATTTTTACAATTCAAATCACTGCAATGATTATTATCATCAATATTGTTAATTTTCCCAGTAATTCACATATCAATTTTATAAACGAGTAATATTTATGCGTAACAAACTTTATTGATTAAAGAATGATTAATATCATTGATAGATGGAAAGAGCGATAACATAGTTACCTATTTTATGATTGTTAAATTCGGATTAATGATAATCGAGATAAATAATGTAATGCTATTAAATTCAATCATTCGTTTATCAATATTTCCAGAACTTTTTGATGTAAGTTAACATAAAAAGTTACCAGTTCGAATTCTTCATTTTCTTGCCAACATATTATCAAATTAATTCTAAAAGATGATAGCAAAATATAAGTACAAAGCGAAACAATGAGAAAAATCTTTAAGTGATCACTTGAAAAATGAATTAAATTAAATTACAGTATTCACTGATCAAAAATTTCAATCACTCGTACCGAAAAATCGTTAAAGAATTTATCAGACAGAAAAAAAGATGGCTTTTCAACTGACAGAAAAAAAAAAAAAAAAAAA